GGAGCATCTGCCCAGCACAAGCCTGAAGGATACTGGGCTGCTGGGGTCCAATGGGAAGTTAAGCTCAGGGCTCCGACCTGCTGTATGACTGGGCCTCAGTTCCCTTATCTGTAAAATGGGAACACTAAAAGTCTTAGTTTATGGAGTAATTGAAAAGATTAAGATTAGCTAATCCACAGAAAATATTTAAAATAGTATTTGGCACAAAATAAATTCCGACAAAATACTAGCTAGGATATTTCCACAATGGTGAGGAGAAGGAGGACTTAACAGACATAAAACTTGCTACTGTCTCAAGACTAACTCAAGCATTTTATATACCTTAGTTATGCATGTACTTAGGAAAATGCATCTTAGATAGGAAATTTTAATATGGCTATTTTACTTGGGTGAGACACAACCTCATCCTGAAAATTCTCAAATATGACAACAGCAAACAGACTCTTGCCTAATAATCTCAACCCATAAAGCCACACATGGGGAAAAATATTTTTAAAGTTCCAAAGTGACATTCCAGATCTTTTTTCCAAATGTAAACTAAAATAAATTTACTTAATGTATATTAATAAATATTTGAAACATTCATACATTTTAAACATATTTTATAAGTAAATAAATTCTGATATTTTAATATCTTGCTTCCTAGGCCATGCATGAAAATCTCAGGGTGAGAAAGGGACCAGACCAACACTGATGGTTTCAAATATCAAACTACACTATTAGGCCGGTGCTAAGATCAATTAGCACCTTTCCATGACAGGGAGACTCAGAGGTGCACTCTGAAACAGTCTTAAACAACCGTGAGAATGTGGGTTTGATCACTCAGAATGGTTTCTATTTTTAAATGAATCACTTCCATCGATTTTTCTGGAAGAGGGAAAGGAGTTAGGGGAGCCAGGATAGTGGTCATAGTAAATCCATGGATGGAAGAGGTGAGAATCATGAGCCGCAGATCTAAGTGATTTATCGCCAAAGCATACACTAATGTGCAGAGCCATAAGCAATATTAGATGACGGCAATGTTTACAGAGACTTCAACCCTCTTAAAAGCATTTAAATATCTGACGCTGGTTTATTTTCTTCCACTCACTGGAGAGCAAGTGACCTGACACCACGTTTGACTCTAGGTCCAGTTTAATGAATATTCAGTGCTACTGCACAATAAACACATCGAACTGCAAAACATAGCACAGCACATACACCCCACAATTAAATACACCATGCAGCTCACCCATCTGGAGGGCAAATGCCAAAAAAAAAAAAATGGTCCTTGCTCAGTTCACTAGGAAAAATTCCTGAGAGAAGCAGGTACCCTGCACACCATCCATCGCTCCCGGTGTTGATTTCCTTCACCTAGTAACCACTGTAATAAAATCCTCCAACTGTATTTCTGAATACAATTAGTTTAAGATACTCTACTTAGAGACACATTATAAGCATTTAGCATATGTAAGTATCATATCTGTTTGAAAAAGTAACTTGTCAGGATTATATTCTCACTAAAAAAAAAGTATCACAGTGTTTGATCAGGGTTTGTTCAGCTCTTCAATAACAGGATTCAAAAGGCCTCCTACTTTTGATAGCACATTTTTCTATTTATTGCTTAAATGAATGATCTGAAATATTTACAACCAGACAGTACCTAATTTTAGGTTTTAAGTGCTTTAACAGCTCCATGAAATATGATCAGCAGCTGCAATACAGAACTATGGTGAATAAACTCCTTATAAAGGGGCCTGTTTTTACTGAATGTTCAGTGTTCTTGCTTTTACTTAATAGAAAAAAAAAAGATAAATGAAAAACCATAATAGATACTTACATTCTTATATTACTTGACACTTCACTACGTCTAGAAAGGGATTATCTCCCCTCTTTAAATTCTGAGTAGAAAATGTGAAGTTCCACTGGGTGAAATAAATTTAATTTTATTATCTAAATGTGAGGGTGTGAATTTTCCAATATCCTAAATTTTTATATCAATAGTTGTAGGTTTTCTACCATTCTACCTTTCTAAAATGTCTGGATAGTTTCATTCCGATGTATAAAATAAAATAATGAAATATCAGGCCACATAAATATATTTTTAGATACAACATCAGTCTTTTAACAATTGCAGTAGAGACTGAAAACATGAAACAAGACACTCTATTTCCCATGGCTATGTAAAATTTATTTACACCCCAAATCACAATATAAATGAAAAGAAACTCTTAGAAATGGAGAGCCTGCTTTTCTCTTTTTTTAACCTAGAGAGGTTTTTTTTTAAAGAAAAAATGTTATAGCAAAATGACAAATTATTCATCTGACAGTCTTCCCCAAGAAAAGAAACTTTTGTGCAAAGACAGTTTTCATTGTTTCTAAAAGTCCTCTAGAATTCAACATCTGTATTACTTGATAAAGTTAGTAATCAATAATATATTTTTACCCAAATCTTAAGAGTTTTTAAATGTTCAAGGAGAAACATACTACTTGACACAAATATTACTTAGGAAAATATATTTTTTTCCAGAGATGAGAAATTAAATTTCTAATATTTAGCAAAATAAAAACTAATAAAAATAATCGAGCAAACCCTTTTATTTGTTGTAATTGTGAAACAATCTTTAAATAAGATGTCCTTAAAATGTTGCAGCATACTTATATTTAGACAGTTTACAAAGGATAACCAAGCTTTTGAAAATCACATTGATTTTCGACCTCCACTTAGTAGAAAAGAAAAGGACACACATGTCCCTAATAATGAGAAAAGGAGCAGTTCCCAGATAATTTAATTATGTTTCAAAGCTATTATCATCCAAGACTTTCCCATTCTTGTACAGTCATTTCAAAAAAAAAAAAACTGGTTAACTTTGGATGACTCAAACATTTTAATCAGGTGGAACAAACTATTTATATGGTTTATAATAACAATAAAAGTGGGTGCAGTTATATCTGCGTTCACGGTTGTTGTCATAAAACTCTGGTTCTGAAAGTGTCGCTCCACACCAGTTTGTCTCCTTACTACTGCTGTTTATTTCTTGGGATAATGTTATTTTTTAAAAATACACAATCGTCTGAATACAATCTCCTAAAACACACCCTTTCAGGAATCAAGCATTTTGTTTCAGGATTCTCTCCTCCTCGGCCCCTTCCCTCGTTGTTTTGATTCTTCAGGTATAAGACTGACACATTTTTAAAAGTTTTTTAAACTGAAGAGATAGTATTTCTGTTGAAAACCAAGCTCTACGCAGGAAAGGTTATCCAGTACAATTCTTGTCCCAGGGAGGTCTTAAAAATAAAAACACAAAAATCAGACCAACCAACATGAAGAAGGAAAAAAAAAAACAAACCAGCGTCAACTTCCAGGGCTGTCATTCACCTCCGTGGAAGTGAAACTTTAGAAGCCGTGGACCCCAGCCCTAGCTCTCGCGCCTCCCACCCGCGTCCTGCCGGAGCCCGCACTGAAATTGACAAGCGCCCGAGGGTGCAGAAAGTGGCCGCCGCTGAGAAGAGGAACAAAATGCCATCATGGAGAAGATATATTTCGCTCCAACAATTACGTTGATCCCAGGGTGCCAAGCCAAAAGGGGAAAGGGAGAAAGAAAACTGTTAAGTATGAGCTCTTAATGTGAAACCTAACCTGTGGGTGCTCTGAGGTATCAGATTTTGGAAGTGTCTGTAATGACAGCCAGGAAAGCAAATTAGTGGCCAACAGCCCACTGGGTTTGAACAAGAGACTCCAGTTACCGCCTCATAGATCAAGTACACAACACACACGCACACGAAGGTGCTCCACGTGGAACCGTTCGGAAACCAAAACACAAGCCCCGGGCGCGACGCTGCACCCTGGTTGAGGGAACGGACAGAAGGACCTGCACCTTGGCGCTGCCCTGCGGCTCGGATTCCTGAACGACAGGCGCACCCACTCGGTGATGGCGCGGAGATGCGCGGGGGACGAGGGAAGGCGTAGGATCCCCAAACGGCAAGGCACCTTCCACGCCCGCGGCCACCCAGGGCGCAAACCCCAGCAGCTTTCTCCGGACGCGCAAAGTGGACGGCCGGGGTGGCGGCGAAGGGGGACCCTGCCACCCGGAGTAGGGAAGCGAAGACAAGCGTTTAACTGCTCTCTCTGGTTTCCCCGGGGCTCGATCACCAGGCTAGGTCTGAAAATTCCCCAATCGCCCCAGCCATTCCCAGTCTTGTGTACGAAAGCGGGGGAGGGTCTTTAAAATGCCACCGAAGGAAAGTTTGGGTTACTACTTGGCACAAAATAAAACTTCCTATCCCGCTTTACATCTAAAACAAACAGAACAAAACAAAACAAAACAAAACAAAACAAAACAAAACAAAACAAAAAAAAAACTTCAAGTCCCACAGCGTCTCCAAAAACAGCAGGCTCTGAAAAGAGAGAAAACCTGCTCTCCCCAGCCAGGTCCCTTCGCAGGGAGAAGTTAGAATCCCTCCGAGGCATCCGCGTCTCGAGCCAATGAACGCGGCTCCTCTGACAAGGCGCCTCTAATTTCACGGGCCCTGGCAAACGGTGGGAAACATTCAGTCCACGCCACATAAAAACGATTCGAATGGAATCGCCGCAGTGTAAAGCGCGGTCGTTGCCTCAACGCACACACGCACCGGCCACCCGCAAACCCAGGCGCCCGGAGCCCTCCGGGGACCATGGGTCAGCATCCTCGGGCCTGGGCCACCTAGGGGGTCATCACCGGGTCCCGAGCCACAGGGGAGGAATTCAGGGGAGAACCTGGTGCCCACGCCCCTGCGGGGCGGGATGGGGTGCGGGAGAGCCGCACGGGGCTGGCCCGCTCCTGGGGGGCCCCTGGAGCACCGGGGCGCCCTCCCGAGCACAGACTCGGATGCACTTCCAGGGGTCTGAGCCCCGGGAATGAGACACAGCGTCCTGGTCCTCGCCGCCCTCCTCCCCAAGTCCGGTCCCCAGCCCGACCGCGCGCACTTCGGAGCGGAGTCGGGCGCCCCGGGGCCGTGCTGTGCGGAAGAGGGCCGCTCACCTCCAGTCGCCTCGGGATCCCCAAGTTGAAGTGTCCGACCCAGCCGCCGATCTGCGTGTCGGTCCTTAGGTGTTTATTCTCGCTCCTTCCAATGTCTGATAAGTTTTCCCTTCGCGCTGTGTCTCTGGTGGAAACAGGACATCCCCTTTGGTCACCCCCCCCAAGAAAAGCGTACACAAATGGGGGAGCAACGGGGCGGGGGAGCAGCCGGCTCCGAAGGGGCGGAGGAGAGGAGCCCGAAGTCTGCGCGGGGGACCCGGGGAAGTCGAAGAAAGGCGCGGAG